AAGACGAATATGAAAAAAAAGAAACATATGGAATTATTCCGAAACTATTCAAGTTCTACTTACATACATAACAGGTGTTCTATGTGTGAACCCTTGGTCACACGGCATACATCAATGCGATAGTCCAGTTCCTGCCCGGAGGGAATTATTACGGCATACCAGTTCCTGGAATTATTAGTTAAATTGGCTTTAAAGCCTAACTTTAACTTTTTGATGATGTAAAAGCTGCGTCTCCATAACTACTAACATTTGTCGTGCTTTTCACAAAATTTTTGAATGTTTTTTTTTTTTTTTTTTTGCTCTAACGTTTCTGAAACATTTCATCATCGCCTTTTAAACTTGACTAACTCCTGCTTTTAAGTAATTAATTAAGGAAAGGGGGGAAATTGCTTTTTTTAAGTTAAGATTTGGATTTAGTGTGGGTACCTGAAATTTGCCCTTTGCCTTTGTGTGAGTTTCAGCTGCCATCTTGAATTTACTGGGGAGGGGTAGAGGAAGTAAAAAAAAAAGAAACTTGAACTCAAGTATTAATATAAAATTGTTCATATTTTCGTCGATCCTTAAGATTATTGTAGTTTCATCGAATTGCAACTTCTTAATTTTTGCTTGTTTTGAATGAAATATAAATAAGTTAATTTCAATTGTTTATATTTTCTTCGATCCTAATGATTATTTTAGTTTCATCGAATTGCAACTTCTTAATTTTTGCTTGTTTTGAATGAAATATAAATGAGTTAATTTCAATGAATTTTTTACTGCCTCAATTATTGTTACTCAATGAACAAAACATATGTATAAAAATGCACATTATGTGACAAATTCAGCTGAAAAAGTTTAAATTTGTGAAAAATTTTAAGCTTAAAAGCATGAACACGACACTTTATTTTTCTACTTCTGTACATTACATAAAAGTTCACAGTTTTAAAAGGGAACAATGATATAACAAATAATATTTAATACTCATAAATCTAAATAACTTTCCAGAAAAAAAAAGGGAAATTTTTTTTCTCACAAAAATGTCTCAGTTTCTAGCTTCAAGAGATTTTAAGTGAAAAATATTTTATACTACATTTATTCTAAACTCAAAAATATATCGACTCACTATACAAACATTTTTACTACAGAATTTATCTTTCTTCCGCTGATACTTAGAATACTATTAAAATTCTGAAACAGCACTTTTGACACTTATAAAATTCTGAAACAAACGTTCACGGTTTTGAAAACATCATAACTTATATCGCATTGAAATTCCCAGTAAACCTAGTACAGAAGCATTTTGTTCTTTTTCTGAAACTTTTTTTGAAATATTCAGACTTGATCAAAATGAGCCATCTTTTCCCCCGTTTACAGAGAACACCGAGAGAGGTGCGCTGTTGCCCCGGTAACCGAATCCCGGATACGCCTTCCAACCTTATGACGTCGGAGGCAGACCACGTGCGCAACAGCTCAAACACCCCACTCTTCTTCTCCCGAAAACCCCCGGGAAAAACCTAAAAGGAAATATCACCAGAAAGCCATGTTTACAAGCTCCCGAAAAGATCTCTCTTAAAAACGAGAATACAATCCATTTTTTTTCATGGTTTTCCCACTCAAATCATAATAGAAGTCATTCATCATGTTTGGAGAAAGGGGGCCAGGTCCCCGAACGACATCTTTTCCTGTTTTGGCAATGGCGTGAGGACAAGACAATGCTTGAAAAATAGCAGATGTTTTCCCCCAAGACGTCCACCGGATCAGGAGAAAGCTGTTGACGTCTAGCTTAAATTGGTTAATTCGTTTGCAGGTAAGAAGTCACCTGATTTGCAATTTTTTTATTTTGAGTGGAACTTTAATCTACTTCAACAAAGTTAGGGACACCTGCACTTGCCAGATGCAACAGTTCTGTGATAAGTTAAATAGGATGTCCTTGTTTTCCGAAAAGTAAACATAGCACTCATTTCTGAAGGTTTCATGTTTTGAAGTAGAAATTAAAGAATAGCATTTTTTTTCCAGATGAGACTATTTCTATATTATTTGCGAAAAGTAAATATGTTAATTTAAAAATACTCCACAATAATTGAAAAGTTGGAATGTTTTAAATGCAAGTTAAATGAAATAAAAAAAAGTATCCCAAATCATTACTGTGTTGGAAATTACAAAATTTTCTTTGAAAATCGATGTTATCACACACTAAAAAAAAGTATAGACAAAACTACCAGAATACGGTAGAATCTACAGTGTTTCTGGCTTTATGGGAACACTTAGAAGCCCTGTACTTTTTGCCAGAACACTTTGGTAATTATTTTGATAAAATAAACACTAAACTATGATTTCATAATATGTGATAAAATATGGTCATTTTCTCCTGAAACCTTGAGGCACTGAACTATCATTGTGAAAAAAAATAGGGTTCGAATCCCAGTGGCGGTTTGTAGCCCATCGGGTTTAGATTGATGGGTACAAGCTAGTTTGGAGAGAAAAGGCTACTTGCGTGCAGCACTGACCACAAGCATGTCGCAGGTCATGGAATTGTGAAGCTTTAACCTCTATGACCCGGCCCATAACGGGTTGCTGATGTTTTACTTTACTTTAGATAACCGTAAAAACCATTTATTTGGTTAAGTTGTTTTTCAGTTTTGTATTTTTTGCTAAATGTGTGATAATAAGAAGCCTAATTTTGAAAGCCAAAAATTCTGGTTTACCATTACCATGTGAATGGAAAAATTATTAAATGAATGGTTTAAGTGCCATATATTTTGCTTTTAATAACTAAAAGTATCGTTTGTTTTTACACAAATGCCATTAACATACTGTCCGGTAATTTTGCCAGAATTTTTTTTTTCACCGTGGTGAAATATTTATTTAATTTCCTTTTTAAATTGTAATACTTTTTTGTAGAATTTTTTCCATAGAAATCCTTGTAACATGCAAAAAGAAAAATTGTATACTTTTTGAACAAATTCTAATCAAAATAAAATTTTTGTTGTTGCTTTATTTGAAAAAAATAGTCTGATTTTTTTAATACCTTAACATTAAAAAATAACATCTTCAAATAATTCAATTTAAGGATATGACAACCTTCAGCATAAGTCTGCTTAGGTTTCGATTAATTAAGGTAAACTTATTTGACTATCTGCAAATAAATGTATTATTGTTTACAAAAATTATTACCAGAACAATTTAAATACAGCTTAATGTGTCGAAGCGTTTTAAATAAATCGTGAAATTTTTACTGATGATCGAAGAAAATAAAACAAGCGTTAAATAAAGTTATGTGCTGAATGCGCTGCTTTTTAAGTTATTATAATAAATGCTTAATTGTTCTTATTATAGTAAGCATTTAATTGTACTTATTATAGTAAGCATTCAATTGAACTTATTATAGTAACTACTTAATTGCACTCGAAATGAAAAAAGTATAGTACGTTTGATTCGCTTTCTTAAATTTGAGCTGATTGCAATAATTTGTAACCTAGATTAAAGAATAGTGTAAAGAATTGATATGTTCATGAAAAAGTGCTAAAACAGTAAAATCGTTAAAAAATTTATTCAAATTAACTTAATTATTTTTTTGTGAAGAGTGTGTCAAGTCTTTTTTTCAAATTTTTCAAGAAATAAAATCACGTGAATTAAAATGAAACACGAAACTATTTACTGTGCAAGAAAGCAATCAATTAATATTTTTAGGGGAAATTTCGGATAAAATCCTCATGGAATATGAATTATTATTTCGTCCGGAACAACTAGTTTTTTGTTTTGTTTCTTTGCCATGTATGTCTTATTTCCCTTTGTCTTCTGCATGTTTGATTTCTACCATGCAAATTTTTTGCTTCAATTATTAGTTGCTTCATAGGTAATCATCAACCATAGAATTGTAAAGGTGTAAAGTATGTAATATTTAAATGGATTCATAATGATATGAGTTTATTTAAATACTATAGATTAAAGTGGTTACACATCAAACTCATTTCAAATTATAGCACAAAATTATTCAGTTTGAATAGTCTCTGGTTAAATTTTCCAGATCACTTGACCTTATTATCGTAATATGAGGAAAGCATTTGAATTGTTGCCATTTGAATCGATTAATTACATGCTTTGTGCAATTGGGTACATTGGGAAAACTCAAAATTTTGCACAACCTACCCAACTGCGCAAAATGCTATGATTCCAAACAACAAAAAGCTTCTAAAAATTAAGATAATGATAAGTTATAATTTTTAAAACTCTATTGCAGTTATAGTGACTCAGTTTAAAGTTAAATTATTCAAATTGAAGGGTTGAACATTCGCTATGCCTACTCATAACTTTAGAAAATTACATTCTTAAATTCTAATTTATATAAACCTTTGAGAAATAAAATCTGAAATTTGCATTTTGGATAAATAAGTAATATTTGGCTAGCAAAAGAAGCTTAAAGTTACTCGTATAATGTAACATTCAGAAATAAATAAGGTTAAGATTTAAAAGTTTTGCAAATTAAAATTTTAGAGGAAAAAAAATATGAAGAAACATTTATAGGGATCATACGAGATTTAAGTTAGAATAAAATTTAAGTGTTATGATACATAAAAAACTTCGAGAAAAAGTTTGGATTGTTTTCTGTATTCTGAGCGATTTTATGGGGCAAGAAAAGTCTAACTACTTGTAATCTATATACAAAATCTATATACAAAAGAAATTTAAGCATGACTGTCTATTATTTAGTCGAAAAAAATTCACCTGTGATCTAATTCCCAAAAAGGGTATATGATGACAACTCTATGCTGTTAGCTTATTATACTATTTGTACTATTTTGTAAATACTAGAAAAGTAAGATTCGAAATTGCTTGAAAAAATACTTTTATACTACTTGCAAAAGTAATTTAACTGTTGCGGATAAATATGATTGTAATCTTTCAGAAAAAACTCAGAAAAAAAATCCACGGATAAAAAATTTTGATCAAATTGCCGTACTGTATGCTAATATGATTTTTGGTTAAAAAAAAACAGTATAATTGTGGTTAATAAAACCGAAATATAAGTTATTTAAATCATTCATTTGGTAATGTTTTTGTTCATATTGTAACGGTTTACTGGGCATTCTAGCTTTCAAATTTATAGCTCTTAGTACCATACATTTCTTTAAAAATACAAAGCTAAAAAATAAATTTTCGAATAAATGGTTTTTATGCCATTCTTGAAGGCATCATGATGAAATTTTACAAATTTACAACATTCACCAAATTTTATCACGTATTATAAAGCTACATTTCATTGTTAATGTTACCAAAAAACCATTACCCAAATGCTTCGGTAAAAATTACAGAGCTTTTTGGTGTCCAGATAGAGCCAGAAACACGTTAAAATTTACCTTATTTTGGTAGTTTTAACCATACTTTTTTTGGTGTAAAGAAATCCAAAATAAAAGAGTTCCAGGGAGAAATTTATTTTAGTTTTACTTGTAACTCTATAAAAACAGCATTCATGCTCTTTCATAAAAAAATATACAGTGTTATGATAAAAAAAAACTTTGAGGTTAAAAAATGTTTAACGTTTTAATAACAGTTGTTATGGATAGTTTATATTAAATTGAAGAATTGAATTTAACAAAAAGATAATTTAAAAAGAAGACACAGAGTAAAGTTTATTTACTGCTATGTGTAATAAAACATAAATTATAAAAACACATGTGGTGGATAACTTTTAAAATCTGTGCCACACTTTTTAATTACTGCAATTTTAACTTTTAATTATTTTAATTTTTAACTTTTCACGACTTTTTTTATCTGTGAAAGCTTTCATTCGTTTCAGAGAAGTTAAAATACACTGTTTCAAGCAAATGAGGGAAGTATTCACTGAAATAAACTGTTTAATTTATGCAAATATAGGGTTTGAAGGAGATTTGCTTTAATATTTATGGGGACAGGAAACCTTGAATTCTTTTTTAAATATGCATTCACCTAAATTCACCTAACTAAAAAATCAGAAATATTTGAAAAATATTTTAATTTTTTTAAAAATTTACAGCCGAAAATTAAAAACAAAAATACTATAGATAAAAAATAAATATTTAAATTCTTATTACACTTTGAAAGAAAAATAAACATATTGCCCTTATTTCAAAATATTTGCAATTCAAGCTTTAAATCATACATGCCAATTGATATAACATTTGCTTTTGATGTTTCAATTACCACCATTTTTTTTAAAAATATATTGTTTTTTAAAAGGGCGTGTTGTGCCCAGAAAATTTTACATAATATTGCAATATACAGATGAATTATTATCTCACTAACTTTTGAATGATTTTACTAAAAATTTGACATGCAAGATATTTTATATATGTTTTGTTGATACAAAAAATTTATTTTGGCCTCTCATACAAGTATCGTGTAACATAAATATCGTATAACATAAAATAGAATCGAAAAATATATTTTAAATATCAGAAACAAAGGTACTCATCTTCGAAACTCTAAAACCTGCTTTTTTACAAATAACATGTTTTAAAGTTTGTGTAAGTCAGCTAATAAGGAATTAAAGATAGTTTTTTTTTCCTTACAGTGAATTCATCGAAAATTTGACTTGAAAATATTAAAATTGTTCGAATACTATTTCTAATAAAAAAAGAAATTTCAAAGTGTTCCTGTAAATATGAGTTAATATCTTGCCTGTTATCACCCTCAAATTCAAAAATATTTTAATTCCAAAAACACTCTTATACTAATGTTTGCATAAATGGCGCTTCTTTTTCTTTGGTTTACTCTCACAGGAAAAGATGTTAAACAAGAGTGCCATAATTTTTTGTCGTCAAATATTTC